AAAGTCTTGGAATATCTACATTGGATGACCTTAATTCCGTGGTTTGGATTCTTTGGAACCAAACAAAAGCTCCCAGAACCGAGAAACACTTAAGCATCTCTGTCAGTCGCCTCCCTCACTGCATCTAGGCATCGATTATAGAAAAAATGTTTGATTACTCGGAAGAAGGATTGAGGCAAGTAATACTCTCACCACCAATGGTGTTTATATTTTGGGGGAAAGAAAGTGAATTGCAAAGTACACTTTACTTAAGCTAGTATACTTGATTGATTTTTCTCCTTTGATTTCTCTTTGTTTTCCAAAAAAATTCAAAGTAATGATGTATTGATATGTATAGTTTTTTCAAGAAGACAATGATTGCGATTCATGATTAATTAATGTCTATTAATTATTCTCTTATTTTTCTTCATTTTTCGGTCGTAGTCTCTCATCCCTAGTTTACGCAGATCATAAACAGCATGTTTTCTTTGAGAACTAATTAACCTTTAATTAATCACACAAAGTTGAATTTTTTTTTTTTTTAATGGGGGTAAACAAGGTGATTGTTATCAGCTTGTTTTTACTGGATAGATAGGATCATTATTTGCAGCCTAAAAATTCAGTTTCGGTAAACAATGATTTTCGATCTACTGCTAATTAAAAATTAAGATCTCTCGATCTATCTCTATCTCCCAAGAATTAATCATAACAAAACCCTATTTTTTGTATGAATATATTTATGAAATGGGGGAATCATTAAACATTAGAATATGAGAGGTAAAGCTTTAATTTCTTTCTTGTTTGTTAATTGATTCCAGACGGGCAATAATAGCTGAACTCTTGTCAACATATTGATGATTATATGAAACTCTTGTTCTCAGCACACTAATAACTTCGAGCTTTATTTTCTTAATCATGTCCACCACTCAGGGTTTCTGTTTAAGTATATCTTTAAAAAAAAATGTTTTTTTCTCTATCCACATCTTACCAAATAAGTTCGTAGGATGACTAAGAACATATAGTACTATAACCAGGAGAGTTGGAAATATATCAGTAGTTGTATCTCACTCAGGTTGCAGTAAAAAATACTGCTAAACTACCAATTAACAATAGTTTAATTCCCTTTTCTTTTCTAGTGAAATCCACTATTTTAACGTCTGGTTGGTGTTAATTTTCAGCAACGCACGGGCCTAGCTGATAAAGAGGAAACTAATCATTCTGGGGAACTAAGCAGCTAGCTAGCCATAATGGATGAGCCAGAATTTGGTTATCAGGAAGCTGAGAAGAGTAACGAGATCAGCGAGGAACAAGTAGAAAACGGATCAGTGGGATCGTCCCAGAAATTCTCATCCTTCGATTTGAATGAAGAAGCAAGTAGTGACAATGAAGAAAGAGGCCAAGGGAATAAAGCTGCAGATAATGATATCTCTAGTGGAGGAAATGAAGGGCAGAGGGTTAAAGTAAGGCAATATGTGAGATCAAAAATGCCTCGTCTTCGGTGGACACCTCAACTCCATCTTTCTTTTGTGCACGCTGTTGAAAGACTGGGTGGCCAAGATAGTAAGTTTCTAGCTAGATACGTATAATAAATATGTATATATCCTTTTACATCAAGATGAACAGTACTTTCTTGCCCTACATGCGCGTCTCTCCAATAATAAGGTTTAGAAGTAGATAGATTTTTTATTGAGAGTATGGATTCGAACTTGAAATCGCTTTTAATACTTAAAGAAAAAAAAATACCATGTACTATATAGGAACATTAAGATCAAGTTACATTATTATTATTATTACTTTACTTAATTACATCCTCTTTACATTAATAATGTTTCTGTTCTTTTCGTATCGATGCAGGAGCAACTCCCAAATTAGTTCTTCAGCTAATGAATGTGAGAGGACTTAGCATTTCTCATGTAAAGAGTCACTTGCAGGTTCGGAAATAATTATTTTGTCAAAATAATCATATCCTTATAATTAATCAGATCCTGATAGACTTAATTCTTTTCTTTTCCAAATTACTAATTCCTCCCAATCATGCATTTTCCAATTGTCAGATGTATAGAAGTAAGAAGCTTGATGGGAATGGCCAAGGTAAAGGTTGATCTGATATCATCTTTGAGTTTAGTATAAAATTAGCAAGGTTAAGTTATTTAACAACTTTTTCTGTTTAAAATAATTCTTCTAAAACTGTAGTAGTCTAAATTACAAACAAAAACTTCCGGAATTTGTCATTTATACCAAGTTCTTATGTCCTTATGTGATAAATATTGTTCATGGAAAAGAAAGTGAAACAATTTATCCATGAATGCAAATCCTATTTTTGGTGCAGTATTATCTGAAAACCACGAATCCAAGCATGGAAGGGATTACATATCTTGCATGGTGCACCAAACAATCAACCAGCCTCGGCGACATGTATACTTTAGAATGGACAACGGTGGCATCGTTGTAGCAACAAATCCACACGACTGTCATAGCCAATCACAGCCAGATTTTAAAGCTAGCTCAAGGTATATATATGTTACACACTAACACTAAAAGAAATCAACATAAATTGTCACTGACATCGTTGGCACAGGATGAGGTGGCTAAAGCCGTCAGTTACTTATAATAAACATACTTGGTAACAATCATTAGGCACTGATAGTGACTTTAGCCACCTCATCTCGTGTCATGACTAATGTTAGTGACCAATGATGTATGTATTTTTTTGGTTTTGTAACTATATTTCTCTTCTATCTAGCCATAGGCTCTACAATCATGCTTCTATTGTTGTTATAATCAGGTCAAGTTCTCTACTAAACAAAGAAGTCGCAAAAGGCAACAACTCGAACAAATCTATAGATTCAATCTTGCAAACTGTACCAATAAACCCTAGCAAGTTTCCTGAGGAAAAGAGGTGGCCTCCATTTGAAACGACTAACAAACAACAATGGAGGCCTAAAAGAATACCTGCTGCCAAAATCAATTGGTTGGATAATCGTAATGGCTCCCAATCTGACCATCTAATGCATCATATGCACACCACACCAAGGTTGATAGGGGAATCTCACAATTTAAGGCCACCAAACTGGCACCTTGGAGAGAGCAGAAACGTAAGGCAATTTCCATCAAACGCACACAATTCTATCACCAATTCCAGTTGCTACAAAACCGAATTCAAGTCGCCATTTAGGTTTGAGGTATGCTTTACAGTCTGCAGATTAGTCTATTGATATATATATATATATATATATATGTATATTATACATTTCATTACTTTTTAATTTTGATTCCGTACATGTTAATTCTTATTCATCTTAATTACTACCTGAATTCCGTTACAGTTGAATGCAGAAAAAATTTCGAAGTACAAAGAATGGATGCCACAACTGGAATTGGGTCTGGGCCAAAGAGTTGAGAATTATGAGGAAAAGAAGATTACTTCCAGACATCGTATGGTTAGTGAAGATCATTATGGAACTGGGCAAAGAGTTAAACAGGAAATTAGCACTAAGCTTGCTCTTTCTCTTTAATTCTTGTTGTCGACCTAATCTGGTCGACCCCACATATATACTGAGGTGCAAATAGTGAATATAGAAGTATATCCAAACAAATTTCCAGTCTATACTAATTAATGTCATGGAGCCACCCAGGCATTGAGGAGGCTGGTTAGTGATTCCCAGGTATATATCTCCATCGTCTTCCCAAGACCCCCTTGGCTAGTCCTGTGTCAAAAATTCTCAACGTATTGTGAAATACTTGTTCTAAAAGCATTTGTACAAGCTTAGGGTTTTCCTTTCTCTCTTTTTTTGGTGGTGCTTTCGGTTTTGACTCCTTAAACCCTCAATGGTATTATGATAACAAGGTTTTGCATGCATGAACGAAAGGGTCACAAATTTACAAGCCCCAAAAATTTTACTTCGTTTCATTCTGAAGAGTACTAAGCATGTTCGCTAAGTCTTCGGGTTAGTAGCTACGTGCACCTACTTCCAATTGGCGGGTAGCAAATGACACACAATTCTCCAGTTTAAGAAACAAAAATAAAGATTGTGCATTTTGGCTAGAGACTAAGAGGATATATATGCTCTATTACACATCCGAGTTCGTGTCCTTCTCATAGTTTAAATCAGATAAAACTTTAATGTAAATATCATTTCAATCAAAATATAGAAGTACCATAATGTTTTGGTTGCTTGACTAACTTTGATATTAAAATAAAAAATTTGTGGTGGGAGTTAAAAGTTGAAGTACAAAAGAAAACATAAAACTAATTGATTTGTTCCTTTTTGAAGGAAAAAAGAAGAAAATCCTTGCATAGACATGTCCATGTTTCTCATGTCAAATAAACAATGAAATGAGAAATTATTGTGTGATTCTAAATTAAGCACCGATTGGTAGTATAACCAGTTCACTCTAACACATAAATCAATTAATAATATCCAGGTGTCAACTGCATAAATGAAAGTTGTCCGTATTCAATAAGTAGGTGACGATTTAGTACATAAGCTCACTTAACAACGGGCATCATATTATTAGGCTTATTCGCTGCTTGATAAATGCTAAGAAGACTCTTTTAAATTGGAACTTTTCATGGACCTTCTGCCACCTCATTTTTTTAGCACATTATTTTATAACGTTGGCATAGAAATTGTGCCACAATGATGAAGTGTCGGAGAGTCTATAGAGAGTCTTACTTTTGAGAGAATATTCTTAGCAATTCTCTTTGGTGCTTTATACAGCGTGCCAAACGAGACCTTAAAAGCATAAACTCCTCGTTGACTCATACTATAACATAGATTGGCGTATAACGCGATTTTGTTCGTATGTACTTTCAATGAAACCGAACATTTGAGGCACTCTAGAATGGGCTCTCAAAAGTTACCGAGGGATTCATAATTTCTATTGTCTGGTAGTCGAACGGTCCAGAAAATTACATGGGCCTTCTGTAGCTTAAGAGCGGGGGTGTCTTTGAATTCATTTGTCTAGGGACAAATGAAATGCTGATGGAATCTCAGCTTTCATGCTCCAGGAACAATCCATCACAGAAATATACAAATACTTTTACTGAAGCAAAGAAACTACAAACCTGAAATATACAAATATTTTAATGATCAGTAGCAAAATGTAAATGAATGATCATCTTTAGGGTGATTGACTTCCAAAAATATCAAAAGCCAACACATTAAAAGCTACTGATATGGGAATTGCTTCAACTACAAGGAATTTGTAAGAGGAACTCAACTGTAGATAAGGTTAAAAAAAAAAAAAAAAAGCCAAAAGCAGAAACTGAAAACACAAGTTGCTTATCTGGTATACAGTAGCGAAAACAATTGGAGGAAGAGAGCCTCCAAAAATAAATTGGCCAGCTCGAGTTAGCTATCTCGGATCATCTTCAAACCAACGCTTCCGACGAAGCCAGCAAAACAAAAAGAAAATTTTGGAAGACCCAGGCAAATCTTACTCTAGGATTGCTGAGAAAAATGAGTAATTAATTCCTGTCAAGGTATAAAATGTTAGAGCTCCCTTTGTCACAGAAAACTTCTACTGTATACAAAATTATGTGAGAATGAAAGATGGTGAGATTATTACCTCAGAGTAGCGCACATGATCATTACGCGAATTGGAAGTTTTTACAATGGTTTCCCACTTGGTACTCATGGAGGATGTCTCCGATTCCAGCCTTTTAGTATACGCGTGTGAAAATGAATTTCGCGAAGAAATTGACGAAAGGGTGGACCAAAGCCAAGACTCGGAAGGTGATCTTGGTAGAGGTGGGGGAAGAGGAGACTGTATAGTTATAATCTGACCACTTTTTCTATCCAGCTTTCCATTAGTATCAGAGTTTGAATAGTTAGAGGCCTCAATTTCCTGACCAATTCCCAGCAGAGAGTCCTTCATTGAAACTATTTGGCCTTTGAAGTGTGATATGTCACATAATGAAGATGAGTTGTCATCAGCAGACTCGAATACTTCAGTTTCCAATTTGCCACCAGCCTCGAAATTATTCAGGCATTTGATGTCTTGAAACGGATATTCTGCAGAAGAAGTTTCTTCCATGTGTCTTCTCTTTAATAAGGTCTCAAAAATTTCATCAGCACAGTCGACTTGTTCTTTGGTATCGAAAGAACTGGAATTCGAATCTGATAGTTTGCCAATATTTACAGTATCTACATACAGCGTCTTCTCAACGATAGGGCTCTCAGAGCGTGGCCCTTGTATATTTCGTTGATGGCTTGTTACTTCCTGAAAGCTGTGACCACCTTTTTTATGCAAATTGGACTTACTATTGGCTTTGGTACTCTCTTCTCTGGGAATGCCAAGAAATCCTACTCCCGGAAATGGAGACTTAGTTGCTTCATTTCGATAGGGGGATATGCAACCACTTCGTGAATGCCTGAAGGGAGATGACCTCCCTTTGTTTAGATCACCGGAATGTGTATGGCGACTAGACTCACTTACCTGCTTGTACTCTAACTTCTGCAGTTCAGCTGAATGGACTCCAAGAGGTGCTACATTTCGGTAAGGGGATATGCAAGTGCTACGTGAATGCCTGAAGGGAGATGACCTACCCTTATTTAGATCACCAGAATGTGCAAAGCGACTGGATTCACAAGCCTGCTTATACTCAAACTTCTGCATTTCAGCTGAATGGAACCCACGAGGTGCTTCATTCGGATAGGGGGTTATGCAAGTGCTTCGTGAATGTCTCAAGGGAGATAACCTACCTTTGTTTAGATCACCGGAATGTGTAAGAAGACTGGATCCACAAGCCTGCTTATACTCAATTTTCTGCAGTTCAGCTGAATGGACTCCATGAGGGGCATCATTTCGATAGGGGGATATGCAAGCACTTCGTACATGCCTCAAGGGAGACAGTGTACCTTTCTTGAGATCACCAGAGTGTGTAAAGTGACTGGATTCACTGGCCTGCTTATACTCAAACTTCGGCAGTTTAGCTGATTTGACTCCACAAGGTGCTCCATTTCGGTAGGGGGATATGCAAGCACTTCGTGAATGCCTCAAGGGAGATAACCTACCTTTTGTTAGATCACCAGCGAGTGTAAAGCGACTGGATTCACCAGCCTGATTATAGTCAAACTTCTGAAATTCTGCTGATTTGACTCCACAAGGTGCTCTATTCCGGTAAGGGGATATACAAGCACTTCGTGAATTCCCGAAGGGAGATGACCTACCTTTCTTTAGATCACCAGAATGAGTAAAGCGATTGGACTCACCAGCCTTCTTATTCTCCAACTTCAGCAATTCACCTGATTGGACTCCACAGTTTGATTTGCGCTTATAAGCAGCATCCCAAGCATGCTAATTAAAATCATACGAAAATGTCAGAATTTATATGATTTTGTTATCGGAAAATAAATAAACGAAACTAGAGATGTGATAGTTTCTAAAACAACCTTGTTGAGTTGTTGGCTGTGAGACCGACCATAAGTAGATTTTTCTGGTCTTGCAACCTTTGAGGACGAAGACATGAGACCCCGGGTCTTAACTTTCATCCCTGGAATTGGACCTAAGAGGCATAAAGAGTTTCGCAAGCACAACCGGGGAAACAACCCACAACCCTTCGCTGAAACAGAGCCAGAGGGATCGTAATCGTCATCTTCTCCTTCACTTTCTTTTTCCTCTTCGTATTGTCCGTGTTGCAGTTCCATTTGAGATACTTGTTCCTTAGGTAAGGGCCTCGTAACCTCACGGCGGATTACCCTCGTGATTCTTCTTAGGCGGTTCAGGTGCAGCTGTATGCTGCTTCTTTGCAGCGTGAGGTGTCTCCAAAGACATTGCCTTGGCTGCAGGTAAGAATCGATTCATCATGAAATCCCGGGCTTGTGGATCAATAGCGGAGGGTCTAGATGGCTTCACGTCTGCACTTTCGGATTGACTGAGACAACTTGCACTACAGTTCAATGAGAAAGACTTCGTAGGGGAAATCGTCTCAAGTGCATCCGAATAAACATCATCCTCATTCTGTAATTCCAAGGCCAGTCTCTCGTTTGTTACATCTTTCGAGCACTTCAACTCCTTCACATTTTTTTTCAAAGAATACGCTTTAAAGTGGGGTGATCTAGCCTCATTTTGATCTCCATAGGCCCTTTCTGAATTATGTTTTGTAACATCCATAAGCTTTCCCCGGGGAAGCCTAGGAGTAACTGAAGCCTCCTCTGTAGGCTGAAGCTCTGCCTCATTGTCTTCCTTGGCTTTTCCGGGGATGTGCTCCCAGTGAAAAGGAACTGCAACCGGTTCTGTCACCTGCTCCAAACGAAAGTCTGATTTGTAAGAAGGAAGAGTATGCCGCCCATCGGGCCTCTGCATTATCTTCTCTTTCTCTCCATCTGCGATCACTGGTGTTGTAGCAATTCGTCTCACAGACAGAAAAGGCGCATTCAAATTCAGTTTCCTTTCCTCCATATATCCTGATTTCGATCAAGCAAATGTTCTTTAATCTCTCTATAGTTCAAGGTTCAACAACAGGGGTGGCAGAAGAGATCATGGTAAATCCGTTCGCATCCGAATTTAAATCAACTCTGAAAAGAAAAGGATTAAAATTACTGTAACAATCCATAGTTTTATCAACCTAACACACACACACACACACACACAAAAAGTACAGAAAAAATTCACACCTACACAGATAGGCCAAATCAAATATCTTTAACTAAATAACGGAAAAGCATTTAGTAGATGAACTAAATTTTACCTACTCTAACAAACTCCCATGACCAAAAGAATTACTACTGCTCTTCTGGTGAATAAAATTAACCTTTTCAACGACCTCAAACCCTCCCAACAATCCCATCAATAAAATCTGATAAGCAGAATGAAACCTTGAAATGTGTGCCAAAGGAAGAAACTTTATTGTGAATCCTAATCCAAATTTGTCTAATTCCAACATCATACTAATTCAACAACACAACAAAAGCAAATCTTTATCTCACTAAATGAATTGACTGTATGAATTCTAGAACGCCACTGCGCTCGGTTTTACTCCAATGATTTTACGTTAAGTCTTCCGTTAACTCTAAGTACTCAGCAATACAAGAATGTTCCAAACAAAAAACCCAGAATTTAAATTAATGTATAATTAACACCATCAGTCACTTCAAGTTGTACTTGTACATCAGAAAGTTCATATTTTTTTGGTCTGATTCCAACATCATCCCAACTCAAAACAAAGGGAAACAGCGATACCAGAATGTTTCGAAGAAAACCCAGAATTTAAATTCATGCATAATTTACACCATCTGTCACTACATTGAAGTTGTATATCAAAAAGTTGAGAAATTTATCAAAAACTCTCCATTGAAGAAGATGAGAGAGGAGGCTTACCTGCGAGAGTTGCGACTCTCTCTCTCTCTGTGAGAGAGAGGTTGTTTCGAGCCTGTGTGCCCTGATGAAACTTGGGCTCCGAGAATGATGCCGTGTAGTGCGGAGAATGAGTGCAAACAAAGAAAATAAAAGAGCCAAGAAAGGAAGGAGAGAGAGAGAGAGAGAGAGAGAGAGAGAGGTGGAAGAATGTGAGAGTGCCTTTTTTTTAACTTTTCAAAGAGTGTATGTAGTGTCGGACATGGACGAAAGACCAAACACATGCAGAGGGTAAAGCTAAACACAACATTGTACAGTACTTTCGTTGGATCGATCATTTTGCTCCTTCTTCTTCTTCCCATACGTGGACCCATTTTTTAGTATGTTATGAACACGACTACACAGCCGTACAATTTTATTTAATTAAAACATGATATTTGTATACTTGTCTCATAATATACGATATATCATTTTTGTTATCTACTCTTACTAAAACACGTGACATTGATACACCATTTGTTTCTTGATATGGGATGGATGGAGGAGAGGGAGATGTGGTCGTGGACGTTATGGTTGGGAAACAGTGACAGTTGCTACTTGCTCATCCAAGCTCCCTTAACTCTTCAAATTTGTCAAAATTGGTCGACTGACCGACTTGTTTATTAAGCCTTCAGCCATGACTCTTTGTCCACGTAGCATTTATATAGTAATCACCTTTTATTATATTTATATACTTATTTATTTAGAATGAGAAAGGTTATGAATTAAAAATTAAGTATTTAGAAGAACATAAATGGCATCGAGATCAATTACTCTTCCATAATTAGTCGAATTCTTAGTTTTTCAGTTATTGTATATAGGATGGTGTGTGGAAAACAGTAATTTTTTTTTTTTTAATTATGTATGATTAGAAATATGGAGAAGTTTAAGACCCTGAATAGGTGAAATATCCATTTGTTAATAAACACTGAAAATATCAAAATCATAATATTGAATTCTCATTTCAAATAAGAAAACATGCATGTGATGAGGTTTTAGGCTAAAATCTCGCTTCGGAATGTTTATTGAAAAACAAGTATGCCCGTAATGAATTTGTTTTAGTTGAAGGCATTTTGTTAGAGCCATACCATCATTTTTATAAAAAAAAAAAATTCAGTAAAAAAAAAAATACTTGAAATTACTTCTTAAATCACAAAACCGAAATAGTATTTTTTGGGTCGAATAATTTGGATCTATTTCTAATGGACTCAATGACTCGTAGTGAAAGTGTGGCAATTGGAGGACCCATTGGCATGTGATGATGCGACTCTCCAACAGTTGTTCCACCCTTAATTGTATTTAAATATTCAATCCAATTTTCTCCGGATGCGAGAGTTTTGTCAACAATTTCAAAGAAGTTCGGTTTTGAAATTGGTCACCAACAAAGTAAAATCTTTTGTTCGATTAGTCTCTAAAAAGTATGAAAAATGCATAACATAACATGGTAGGTTCAGTTATGAACATTGTCAATCTGCTTTTCTCTTGATTTAAGGGATTGATTGCCCTTAGATTGCGGATACTAACTTTTGACTGCACCATAAAAGCCATTGGGTCTAAACCATTCTTAATTGGGCTTTTCTTTTTTCTTCAAACGAATAACATAAACTTTATAAAGAAAAAAGAATAGGACTTTTTTTTGTTAACAAAAATACTGCTCTTTAGGAATCCGTTTTTGTTCACCCCTAACCCAAGAGATCTTTTTTAATAATTAAAAAAAATTGGTCTTAACCAGAGTTATTGTGATTTTCACGTGACAGTCTTTAAACAGAATAATGAGTATATCCTAAAGTTAATGGTGCTGAGTAAAAATGCTTCTAAATGTTTTATGAGAACAAAAAACAATTGAACAAATTAAAATAAAACGTACCATTTATTTATCCTATCAATTAAACAATTGGCTGAATTTTCCTATTTCTCTTTACCACTGCTATGACAGCCATGTTTTAACATTTATATTGTTTCCAAAATCAAGGGGCTCGAATTCTTTGCGTGCCAAGGAGTTTATGACTACTCTTGCTTTGTTACAATATGTCCCACAGGTTATTCGTATCTATGTATCATGTAAAGAATTCAACACTCTCCTACAACCGAGACTGGAATAGGAATTGGTACCTGTTTTCGATATGGATTTTTAAGATGGATTCAATCTCTTTCCTTACATCATTGCTAGTCATGTAAGTCTTGTTCATATATATGAATTAATCTTATCACAACAAAAGATAGTTCAAATTATGTGCGATTATTAACTCACTACTCATTGGTCTTTTAGGTACTTGGAGTTTTTTGGTACTTTTTAGCTATGCAAAGAGAGAGTCAACTTGCTGGCAACTTCCTTGCCAAAGTCATCAAAGTGGACGTAAACCTAGTACTTTTTACTGCAACGATTGTTTGTTCCAATTAATATCACAGCCCTAAATGATTTGTGCCCTATTAATCCGTCAGATACAAAGGTTTCCGATTTTGGGATATTTCTTGATGCTTTTCAGTCTGATACGGTGAAGTCAACAGACTTTCCGTGAAAACTTTTGCATTGTTTCTGGTAAGGACTTAAAAATCTAAGGTTTGTAATGGATAGGGCAACATCAACAAAGAATTTTCGTTGTCAGTTATTGAAGATCTTCTTACTTATAGGATCTGCGCGCATTGAAATTAATTTTACTTTAGATATTATTTCTTATCTGATCAATGTGATTTTTGCATGCAGTTCTCACGGATCTAACCTCGAGACCAGTAGCTACGCATTGGAAAATCTGTTTGCCGCTTTTATTTCTTTATTTGGCTTGCTACTATTTCTATTTTACCTCGGTGGAAATTTGCAGCAGGTTGGTGACCAATAACTGTAGAAAAAGGTCTGTAGGCTAAAAAATATATTCGTTATTGATACGTGAATGTGGAAAAAATGGAAGAGAATGTTTTTTTTCTCATTATCTTTCTCTACAAGATTACAAGGATATATATACATGATACAAGTGTGTAGGTAGGACAAGGTAGCCGTCCTAGTGTGTAGGTAGGACAAGGTAGGACAGCTGTAGGACGACTTGACGGCTGTAGGACGGCTAGTGTGTAGGTAGGACAAGGTAGGACGGCTGTAGGACGACTTGACAACTGTAGGACGGCTAGAGTGTAGGTAGGACAAGGTAGGACGGCTGTAGGACGGCTTGACGGCTGTAGGACGGCTAGTGAATAATATTATATACAATTACACAAGGACTCCAACCATATTCCTTATTTGTCTAACACTCCCCCTCAAGTTGGAGAGTGCATGTCAAGAACTCCCAACTTGCGTAACATACCCAAAAACTTTTCTTTCCCAAGAGGTTTGGTAAACAAGTCTGCCAACTGTTGTGCCGTACCCACATGCTTGGTCTCTATTGTGCCATCTACAATCTTATCTCGTATAAAGTGACTGTAGACATCGAAATTTCAGTAAAACAAATGTTCACCAATGCATTAAAGTTTTGACGTGTCAAGGCATACATGGCATACGCCACGTGTTGTACAAATTGTACACATGGCGTGTGACTCAACAAAATAGGAAGAAATACCCTTGAAGGATTAAACAAGTTTTTCTTCTCATTTTGGGCAATGACAAGGCAAGTACATTCAATCCATTGAGGATCAAAACAAGTTTTTCTTCTCATGTTGGGCAATGACAAGGCAAGCACACTTCAATCCATTACGGATCAAAGCAAGTTTTTCTCATTTGGGTAATGACAAAGCATACACATTTCAAGTTTAAAATGGTGTTAAGTGGGAAATTAGGCCATAAGTTACACCACTTCAAGTTTAAAATGGTATTAAGTGGGAAATTAGGCCATAAGTTACACCACTTCAATTTCAATATTGCATTAAGTGGGAAAATTAGGCAATGGTGCTTGGAAAAAAAAAATATTTTGTGGTGGTGATTCATTCTCAAAGCCTATAAATAGGCTTCTCCATCAAGGTATCAAGCATCAAGGAATTCAAAAATACATTTCTCTACTCCAAAATTAGAAGAGGAATTCCCCAAATCCTTGAAGCTTTGAAACTCCAAAGCTTCCAACCATCCAAATTCCCAAGAATTCCGAAGGATCAAGAAAGCTCTCTTCGTTCTTCGTTAAATCCTCTTTCAAGATCAAGCCCCGACGGCCCTTGAAGAAAGTGTTCATCGTTCATCCTAAGATCAAGCCCCAACGGCCCTTTGGATGAACAGCACAAACAAATCCACACATCCAATCATTCTTCAAGATTAAGCCCAAAAGCCCTTGAAGATCCGCTCATCCATCAACCTTCAAGATCAAGCCCAAAAGCCCTTGAAGAAATCCACACAACCATTATTCAAGATCAAGCCCCGACGGCCCTTGAAGAAAGTGTCCATCATTCATCATCCGTTCATCCTAAGATCAAGCCCCAACGGCCCTTTGGATCAACAACATCAACAAATACAGACACCAAAACCTTGAAGCCTTAAAGTTCTAAAGCTCTCAAGAAAATCCCGAATGATCAAGAAAGCACTCTTCGTTCTTCGTCAAATCCTCCTTCAAGATCAAGCCCCAACGGCCCTTGAAGAACTTCCACCAACTCAAGATCAAGCCCCGACGGCCCCTTGAAGAAAGTGTTCATCATTCATCATTCGTTCATCCTAAGATCAAGCCCCAACGGCCCTTTGGATCAACAACCTCAACAAACCCATACACCCATTCTTCAAGATCAAGCCCAACGCCCCTTGAAGATTCATTCATCATCCGTTCATCCTAAGATCAAGCCCCAACGGCCCTTGGATCAACAAACAAATCCACACATCCATTCTTCAAGATCAAGCCCAAAAGCCCTTGAAGAAAACCAACTGTTCATTCAAGATCAAGCCTAGACGGCCCTTGAAGAAAACCAACCGTTCTTCAAGATCAAGCCCAAAAGCCCTTGAAGATCCGCTCATCCATCAACCTTCAAGATCAAGCCCCGAAGGCCCTTGAAGAAACTTCCATCAACCTTCAAGATCAAAGCCACGAAGGCCCTTGAAGAAACTTACAACTGTTCATCCAAGATCAAGCCTCGACGGCCCTTGGATCAACAAATCTACATCTTACGGAGATAGAATCAGAGGATCAAATTACAAAGAGATCGTAACCCCAAAATCATTAAACACAAAAATATTATTTTGTACACGTTATTCTTGTTTCTTGTTTCAAGGAACTTTCGTGTTCACAGTGACAATCCATCTCAATGTGACGAGTTCGTTCATGAAAAACAGGATTGGCAGCTATATGTAACGCTGCTTGATTATCACAAAATAAAATGGAAGGACCATCCAAAGGAATGTTCAAATCCTTCAACAAAAAACGAAGCCAAACTATCTCGCAACAAGCACC